TGCACTATTGCATAGCACGTGAACCCAAGCGTGCCCAGCGTGGCGTCAAGCTTGGCGTTCCACGCCACGCCCGCGGGGCCTATCGTTGCCCGTAGAGCGCCTTGCGCAGTCGGAGCACCTTATGCTCTGCTCCCTTTATGGCGAAGCCCGGAGCTTACTTGACGAATACCGTCTCTGCCAGCTCACAGTTGAGGAAGGCTGATTTGATGTCGAGGTGATGAACGTGGCAGTCCTTTGCCACTGCCAGAGCCATCAGCAGTCAGACGGACTCCATACGCGCCACCGGCGCAAAGACTTCCTCGAAGTCAATGCCTTGGGGACGGACGAAGTCGCGGGCGATGAGGCGCTCCTTGTTCTTGATGATGGCTCAACACTCATCCTGCTTCACCTTGTATACCCACTTCAGCCCGAGCGGACGACATCCTGGAGGCGGATCGATGAGCTCCCAAGTCTCATTCTCCTAGATCGCCTTCATCTCCTCTAGCATCGCCTATCGCCAATTGGCATCGCACTCAACCAGCGTGAACATGGGCAGCTCCTCTACACTGACGAGAAGTAGCTTTGGATCGTCGAGCAGCCGACTCGCCAGGCCTGAGGCCCCTGCATTGCCGATGCTGTTGTCCAACCTATGGAACCGCACCTCCTCGCCATCGTGGAAAGCATCCATGAACTCGCTGATGTCGCTTGGAGCAGACGTGAACTCGATCGGTGTCAATGAGGGAGTCCCCTGTTCTACCGGAGTGGTCGGCACTGCTGCTGGAGTGCTCGGCACCACTACTGGAGTGGTCGTTACCACTGTTGGAGCGCTCGGCACCACTGCTGGAGTGGTCGTTACCACTGTTGGACGCTCGGCACCACTGCCGGAGCGCTCGGCACCACTGCTGGAGCGCTCGGCACCACTGCTAGAGCGCTCAACCCCACTGCTGGAGCGCTGGACATCACTGCTAGACCGCTCGGCACCACTCCTGGAGTGGTCAGCATCACTGCAGGACCGCTCGGCTCCACTCCTAGAGTGGTCGGATCCACTGCTGGAGTGGTCGGCACCTCCTGTCCTGCGTCTCCACCACCGTAGATGACTAAGTGCTCGACGATGAAGGTGCTGCTGAAGCCTCCACGTTCCCCCATGCCTGGACCGTCCTAGTCCTAGGCCGCCTTCTCCTCGAACACGACGTCGCACGAGACAACCACCTTGCCTCCGCGTAGGTCGTAGAGCCGATACGCGTTGGTGCCCTCCTCGTAGCCCAGGAGCCCCATCGGTGTGCTCCTAACTTCTAGCTTGGTGAGGAACAGCTTCGTCTTCTTGACATGGCCAATGCAGCTGAACGTCCTGAGCAAGGACACGTCCAGCTTACGCCCATACCATGCTTCGAACGGCGTCACGCCCTTTAGGAACTTCGTGGGCGCGCGGTTGAGGACGAACACCGCCATAGTCACCGCCTCACCCCAGAACTCTGATGGCATGCTCTTGGCCTTCAACATGGATCGAGCCATGCCGACCACCATCTGGTTCCACCGTTCCACCAAGCTATTCTGCTACGATGAATACGGTGTGGTGTGGTGTCGCACCACACCCTGATCCGCGTAGTACGCAACGAACTCCACTGAAATGAATTCACCGCCGCGATCTGTCCTCAGCACGCACAGCTTCTTCTCGGACTCTGCATCCGCCCCTGCCTGGAACCTCTTGGTCGCATCTGCCACCTCGTCCTTGCTCGTCAGGAGTTGTAGCCACATGTAGCGAATGCAATCCTCCATGAGCAGAAGGAAATACCGCCGCCCGCCGTGCGGGGATGGCGTGATTGGCCCGCAGAGGTCGCCATGGACAAGCTCGAGGGCGCCCGCCGCGCGATACTTGGCCGCCTTTGGGAACGGCAGCCTCCTGGCTAGGCAACTGTCACATAGCTCCCCTGCATGCTCGATGTGGGGCAGCACTCAGACCATCTTCTCTAGCCGACCGTGCGCGTCGAAGCTAAGGTGGCCGAACCGGGCACGCCACAGCCATGGCTTGTCGGTGTGCTACGCCGCCAGGCACATCGACTGCTCCACCTTCAAATCGAGCAGGTACAGTCGATTATGAGAGCGTTTTACCTTGGCGGGAAGATGCCGCTCCCGATCGTGAATCCTCAAGATCTCGTTCTCAATCAGCACCTCACACCCGCGCTCGTCTAGCTGCCCGATGCTAACGATGCTCGAGTGCAGCTACAAGATGTAGTATACATCCGTCAGCCCGCAGTGCTCGCCGTTCTGACACTAGAAATGACAGTGCCATGGCCTTGAATCTCCACCTTCGAGCCATCCCCAAACTTCACCTACCCCGTCACGCCGCCATCGAGCTCGGCGAAATCCGCCTTGGAGCCGGTCATGTGGTTGCTGGCGCCGGAGTCCAGGTACCACCTCTGCTCCACCTCACCGCCTACTCATCCGAGAAGGACTTGGGCGCACGGATCATCGAGGTCGATGCTCTGCGATGCCTTCCCGTGCTCCGCAACCACCACCTCCTCTGGTTTCTCCTCTGCCTCGACGTCGTGCAGCGCATAGAACATTGCCATCAGGAGAGTTGGCTTGTCGTCATCCACCTACACCAGGTGAGCCTCAGCCTTCTTCTCCTTCTTTGGGTTCGGGCACTCCTTGGCCCAGTGGCTAGTCTTCCCGCAGCGACGGCAAATGTCCCTGCCCATGTGCTCGCCCTCCTTCTTCTTCTGTTGCTTTAGGGCCTTGCCGTGGCGCTTCCCATCGTCGTCGCCTCTGGAGGAGCCTTCCCCGGACCGCTTCTCCCACATCCGGGCAGTCCACTCCTCCTCGGTCAGTAGCAACTTGCCATCAGCCGATGTCGCAGTGACCCCTGTGAGGTCATCCACCATCCGCAGACGCCCTGTCAAATCCTCAATCATGAGGGTTGACATGTCCAGCATCGTCTCGATGGAGAGAGCAATCTGGGTGTATTTGGGCGGCACGATGTGCAGGTACTTGGAGGCTACCTCTTCGTCGTCCATGATGATGCCGTGCGCAGCCAACTGGCTAATGATGGACTGCAGCCGAGGGCGAAGTCCTCCACCACATCCCCATCATTGAACGCCAGGTCATCATACTCTAGCCGCAGCTGCTGCGCCTTTGCCTTCTTCGCGCGATCTGACCCGACACGCATGGCCTTGATGGCGTCCCAAGCTTCCTTGGCGGAGTCCTTTGACCCCAACAGCTCCTGGTACTCCAGAGGCACGGCGGCCAGGATTGCCTCCAGCACCGAGCAATCCTTCTCTTAATCCCAGGTGACCTGGTCAACCGCCTTCTATAGTCGTCGGGCTCTGAGCTTGACCTTCATGATCAACGACCACTCTCCATAGTTGGTGCGAGTAAGAACCGGCCAATTGGCTCCGCCAACATCCCGCATGGTCCTCTGGATGACAATCTCACGACGCACCGGCGATCGGGACTGCCGTGGCGACTTCTCGCCACCGCCCTGACTGTCGTCGCCCTCCATCGTCGCCGACGATCACCCACCACGGCTCCGATACCACTTGTTGGCCTGAGGATTCCCTGCATAGGTGAGCAATTAGCTCACCAATACATACTCGCACTGGTCAGGAAGAGGTTGAAGAAGGGGGTGAGCTCAGAGCACACACATAGCACAAGCACCAGCATTGGCCGAACTCTGCCTAAAGTGTGGCTTGCTGAACTGAAGATTTCTATTGCTATGTCATGAGTATATGTACAACTCTAGCTGTACCCTCCGGGTACAAGGGACTATGGCGAGTACACCAACTCCTACTTACTCCTACTACAAAGGTACACCAACTACATATACCTGCCATTACATGACATGGCCTACTGCCATGCTGCTACAGGAGCAGTGACTGGAAAGAAGGGCTGACCAAAGGCCACCACCCTGCTATGCGTGCACGGGAAAGAAGGAGAGCAGCAGATTACATTTTACAATTTGCTCGATGCCCAAATGAAGGAGACGATGGGAGGAATTGAGCCATGGAATAAGCCGATGACGCAGGGTCCCAACACACAGCCGCGCAAGATGCAGCCATCAAAGAAGCCAATGTCGCCGCCACGCCGTTGAAGCGTCGAAAGGGGAAGACAGCCGACGACGAGCCAGATCCGCGGCCAACGGGGAAAATGGCTGCTCACGATCTGGATCCGCGGCCAACGGGGAAGAGGGCCGTTGTTGAGCTGGATCCACGGCGATTGAAGGAAGCCGATGCCGCTGCAGCTGCCTTGACCTTGCCCTTCCGCCCCGCCGCCACCGTGCTCAGGCTATTCCGCCCCAAATCCGCAGATGCGCCGATGTCCTCCATCTCGTGGGTAGGGAAGACAGCCGGGGAGAAGTTAGGATTATATGCTAACAGTGGTGGATTTTGCGTGAAAAAATCCATTTCGTGTGCACCCTCAGCTTCCTCCACGTGTGCACCCGCACTGAATCGGCGTGCTCGTCGACTCGAATAGTCGGGCCTATACAACGCGCCTCCAACCGCGAGGAAGTCTCGGAGCACGTGCACTCATCGTCGCCTCGCGAGGCGAAAATGAGAGCTTCTCTCCTCATTGAATACAGTGGAGCAGGGTTATTTTTGTAAAAGTAGCAAGACACAGATGGGGTATACAGACGCATTGTACATGCCCTAATTAACTTATTTAGATATACAAATATTGATACCATTTTCTATATAACTAGTCAGACTCAGTGTTTCACTCCACGAGAAGCGTAATCGTTTGTTTTGGGACGGAGGGAGTAACATCTTGAAATTTAAAGGTGCTTTGCGATGGCTTTTTTCGATAAAAGTTTTTTGCAACAGAGTAGAGGTTAATTACCTGCGCTATAACTGGGATAGGATCATAGGAAGTAGTGTAACCATTCACATCTGCTTGCATGGCCCAAATTGGGCACTCCTCATCTCGATTCCTGATCAAATGGAACTGACTTTCTCCTCCACTGTAGATGCCTCCGTCGCCTCCACTCCATAACCCTGGGTGGAACATGCTTGGCGGCGTCGCCATTGTCACCGGCACAGCAACTGGCAGCCCCTGCTGCTGATCAATAGCGTGCGAGAATACTGGGAGCCTGTGGATCTGCGAAGACTGCGATAGCGTTCCCCACAGCTGTCCATCTTCGACTCCGATACAGCCCTCCCACTGGCCGAGTCCACCAACAGATTAGCAGCCCTGGGCCATGAAAATTTCGAGCCAACATTCGGGGTCTCCATGCTGGCGAGCCCATACAACTGTGGCAGGAGCGGCGACGCGCTGCTGCTCGCCGTAGCTTGTTGTGGAGTGAGCGCGAGCAGGATGACATTTGTGGTGCACGACGAAGTCATCAACAGTGCTGCTGATGATGCCGATGCAGCAGTGGCTGCAGCACTGGGCTTGCTGCCCTTGGCTCGGCGGCGTCTGTACGGAGCGCCGACAGGGATGTCGCGGAGGGCGCCGCCGCGTGTCCAGTAGCGATGGCAGTTACGGCAGAAGTGGCGCGGTTGCGCGAAGGAGTAGTTGTTGAAGTAGCAAAACTTGGTGCTGGTGGAGTCACAGCGCGGGCACCTGAGCCCTGGCTCTGGCTTTGGTATCCTCAGCAGCTTGGCGCGCTCAGACATGGACCTCGGTTGGGCGTTGGCTTGCGCTGCTGGGGCGCTACCATCGCGGCTTCCACCTCCTTGGGAAAGCGCTTCTGCGGCCATGGCTTGTCTATACTGGAGAAGATTGCCTTCACCAGCAACAACAGCTGATGCAGAAGGAATATTAATGTTACTAGTAGTATTTGCCTGCTGCAGCTGCAAAAAAATTTAAGATAATGAAACATGAATCAAGAGAACGATTTATATAGTATATTCCAAGATATAAATGATTTAGTTCGTCTACGATATATATTAGCAATGGGAACTATATGTATATACATAATAGTGGTGCCATACATAAATTACCTTCTGGTTGCTATTCCAGCTTGTGGATACTAGGAAGACTGGGGGGAAGATCATATTTGTGAACTTAAGTAACTCTAACTAGCCACTTGTTGTGTGTGTTTGGGTCACTTGAGTCCACGGAGTGATTGATTTATATATAGCAACTTCGAAGGGAACAGAAATGGAGTCGCACTAGAGTGAAAGAGACTTGCATCTTGTCTATACGTACTCTGTAGCTGTGATCTATTTCTTAGTCAGATCCAACGATCTATATCTTACTCAAGTCACACCAACTCAAAGACCTATTTGTTTCGGGTTGTAGATTGCAAAAGCGGTCTATAGATTATAACAATCCATATTCTCTGGGAGCAGATTCTTTGATTTAATAATCTAACAATTGAATTGCCCAAATTTGAGGTGAGAAACTGCTTATTTGTTTATGCTTGTAATTGTGAAAGATACAATTCACATCCCTTAAGCACACAAGGCTTTAATCTATTTTTAATGGGTGGTATCATGCTTATTAACTCATCTACTACACATGGAAGTTTTGCTGGCCTGGTAAGATACAATGAGGTCATAGAACATATATAGTAATCTTGCACTAGATATCGCTTGGGCACGAACTGATATTACAATAGGTTGTATCAACGGACATAATATCTTACAGTATTTATGACAATTAGTTGTCTTAGATAGATATATCATAGAAAGTAAAATTATGATACTGTAAATTGCAGTGGTTGTATCTAATTGATGCCTCATTGATGTGTCAGCTATAGAAATACTCCCTCCGTCTTAGGATAGAAGGCGCAACTCCCTTTGGCACCGAGACCAATAAGTAAATTAACTCCTACGCATTAAAGGCGTTTTGGTTCTCCATCCAATTTACTATGATGCCGCATGCGTGCATGCAGAAACGGTCTAGCCAATTAGCTTCCAGCATTCATGCATGCATGCTGCACAAATGCATTCCCGAGTGAGCCCAGGAGTCAAATTTGGTCCTGCATTAGTTGTTGCATGCGGGAGCTAAAATGCAGGCGCCTTGTATCATGGGACTAAGAAAAAAAACAGTTACGCCTTATATCCTGGCACGGAGGGAGTACAATACTATACTATATACTCCTACTTCCATTTAGAACATTGATTCGGTCTACAACACACGTTTTTTTTACCAAAAACGACATGGTTTTTGATTAAAAAGGAAATAGATATACAAATTTGAGTTGAAGAGAGCACAAACCGTGTGGTAGTTGGAACGCAAGATCACTCCTCCTTTGGTTCATCTATGGAGTATGTAGCGTGACATCCATGTTTAAATCAATAATTCTAATCACGTTCACAACACTACTATATTCAAACAGGTATCCTGTCACATGAACATGTTTGCACTCATACCAAATGCTACTAAAAGTTGGAAGGTCATCACCCATCCAATTGATTTAGCCAACCAAGCTGATCCTCATTTATACACTTATACAGTTAAGCCTCCTTTGGTTCATAGGAAAAATGGAGAAAAATGTAGGATTGAAAGCACTATAGGAATTTCTACTGTTCATTACTTTGGTTCATAGGTAGGGGCATCGAAGTAACATAGGAAATTTTCCGGTGCCAGTCATTTTAGAGGAAAACTACAGGAAACTTTGGATTTCTCTTAAACACCTTGGTAAAATTCAATGCTGTTGCAAGTTAATGGTGGTTCTTGCATGTGGGGCCCAATTGTCGGATGATTATAGAAGAGATTTTAGCCATGTTTGACCAAGTAGTGAAAAGGGACAACTTTATCATCGGTTGGTTATAGAAGAGATTTTAGCCATGTTTGACCAAGCAGTGAAAATGGACAACTTAATCGTGGCTTAAAAATTCTCTAGGTTTTCTACGTTTTTCTTATCCAAACGATCATTTCTTAAAAAATCTTATATTTTACATTTCTATTTTTTTGCAACTGTACTCATACAAAATTCTTATATTTTTCTCTATACCTCAATTTTCGCATTCGTATGGTTCCAAAGGCCCTTATACTCCAGCTGCACTGGGTCCTCTTCAAGAAAAAAAAGACACATCTCAATTATAGAATTGCCTCGTAGACCCGGGCGCGGAGGAGCGGACACGTTTCCCTATGCAACAAGTGTGGCCAGCTGCTTTGCCATCCTGAGGCCATAACCCTGTTCGCTTGATCGTTTCTGTAGCTTATAAGCTGGCTGATGCTATTTTGTTGTGAGAGAAAAACACTATATCATGACTGATAAGCATGGCTGATACGATCAAGCGAACTGTTTTCGATGGACCTCATGCTCCTAGCTAAACTGTTTTCGATGGCGGATAAAGGCAACAGCAGCTAACTGTTTTCGATGGACCTCATTTATGAATGTAACATATATATGCATGCACCTAGCTAGCCAGCCAAGAGATCAAATGCACCAGGGTGGGTTGTTCCACCTCCAAATGTGTCAAAAGCAAAATTTATCTTAATTCTAGAACTCATCACATGGAGTGAAAAATCATTTTATGTTTCATATGGATTCCGTACCTTGTTACTCAAATCTGTACTTTTACTAGGATTTTTAAATTTTTTACTAAATTGAACTTTCAAAAATTGCGATGATGCTGAGGCGCACTAAGTTTACATTTTCAATAAAACCTTTCTTGTTGTCCGGAAAAAACAATGAAATATCCTTGCCACGTATATGCATAGGAAAAATAAAAAGACATGATACGTAATCTACCACACAGTATCCGGACTTGGAATGAGGCATCACTAGTTTATCATCATGTTCTTAGAAAACAAAAGCATTAGAAGTTTGTGTTTAGTACCTATAACTAAAAAAAATAGTTATCATTGTGCCCTCTTTTTTGTTTATTTTCTAACACAGTACATATAGATACTTTGTAATATCTATCCGGTCGTGATAAACATACAAATTACTCTCTATGTTTTATCCATCAATATCCATAGTTTTTCTCTCTCAGCATAGCACCTCCATCTATCCTCAATATGCATATAATTGAAACATGTAGTTAAGTTATGGTGGCACTTGTTGCAGCTCATGTGTCATGATGTCATAAATATATATTTTGATTTTCAAAATTTGATCTTATTAGTTGTTACATATGGTTTATCCTTAAGTTAAATTAAAACTACCTTTTACTCAAAACTATTATTTTGTATTTTATTAAAAATAAGGATTTTAGACCGTAGACTGCACACTTTATTACTACGATGCCATAAACTGTCATTTAAGTCTACACCACGACGCTTAAGATTGGTGGTAAAGCTTGAGGTGTGATCTATGAGGTGCCAATTAATTGTTCTAACATTGCTCAAAAGGATATTAATATTTAAGTCTAACAATCACCATTTACTCCAATGAAATCTCAATGACCAGTGAGATCACAGCTACCTTTTGTCCATACTAACCTCCTCCATGCTTAAGATATTGAATTTCTTTATCACGGAATTATATATGTAGTAGTATTTTAATAAAAAAAGTATAGTGCTCAGAATTATACTATCAATTTATATGTCACAATATTTCCATTAAAATGTATGCACAATATGTATGTTTACTCTAAGTTAGTTTTTCTATATATTCATAGTAAGAAGTAGTTAATTTATAAACTTATATAGGAGTAACTTATGGTTATTTAAATATTTTTCATATTAGCAGACGTCGATAATTTACATGTAGATTTGAAGGATAGTTTAGTTTATTTTTAACAATGGTAGAAGTAGTAATTTAGATGCAAATTTAGAGAGGTTAATTTTGATTATGTTAATGGATACATGGGTAATTTAGATGTAAATTTATGGTTTATTTTAGATTTTGTTTCATAAAATGGATAGATGGGTAATTTAGATGTAGATTTAGGGCTTATTTTATGCTGTTTTTCATAACAGCATAGGTGAGTAATTTTTTAAAAGAAAAATGGATCCAATGTTTATTACTATCAATGGCTATTTCAGTCTACTAAATTGATAGCCAGATCTCTCTCATTCTTATGAGATATTCTAAAATTTATTCTTTTAGCTCATCTCATAAGGATTAACATGGAGTGGCCTCTAATTAGTAATACTAAGATTTTGGGGCCTCCAATTAGTATTCATACTAAGATCTCTTTGCGTGCTGTGTTAAATTAAAAAAGAAAGGTGGAATAGGGCAGGATGCCGCTTTGCCCAAAAAATGATGTGATATAATTGAAAGATGGTGAGAATTCAAGATCAATCGGTTTGTCAGTTGTAGCTTGTGACGAGATTTTCATATAGGACAGGACGAAACCGTGATGGGTTAGTACAGCGAGCTGGTATAGCATAATAGGTAGTTACTGTCACCTATATGTCATTTTATATTTCATCACACAATGCATATTGTACTTTATGCTGGACTAGCAAATATGCCCATTCATTGCAATGAAACGTACAACTTGCGGCGTGGTCACCTAGATGATTGCGGTCCGGAGATTTATTCGGCAATCGTGTCATATGTTCCAATTTTTAGAATCAGGCATTGTACTGTGCCTAAACATGCGCTATTCTAACCTGCCTCGACCTCAAACTTTCCAGGCGAGGGGCTCAAATCAACTGTGGATAAGAGGCGAAATGTTAGGGTTTTAATTAAGAAAATAGTTATCCATACAACTTCCTTAGGGTAAGTTCAGCTGACTCGGCCTATGATGAGTTAACAATGGGTTGATATCAGTCAGTGACCAAATTGGTCCGTCATCGCGCAGTCAGATACATCGTGGCCTATGGTCGCAGCACTAAGCATCTAGTGCCACCC